CAATCTGGACTTAAAAGCATTTAATGAAATAAGTTCTGCTATCTTCAAATAAGTTCTGCTATTTGAAGATCTATCAGTCTGTTGTAAAATTTAGCTCAGAAGTGTTTGATATATGGTGGCTGTACATGGCCACTTCTGGGTTTTACCCAATGACTGTATAAAAGATGGACGATGTGACAGCACCCCAAAAATGAAGCCAAAACGTCTCTATTGCCCCCTGGTGTCTGGCTGCAGTATAGATCATAAACCCCACTTGCTCCATGTTAGCGGGTGGGGTGGGGGTCCGATGGGGGAAGTGTTAAAGAAATTTATTCTCCTCAGATAATTTTTTTCCAAAGATTCTTTCTTTAGTTTTCAATAGTTCTCATCACGCTGATTTCTGTCCAAGGGGTCGCCATTCCCATAAGTTTGATTCTAATTCCTACCGCAGCGATGTTAAATTGGGGGAAACATTATCATAACAGCATTGACTGGCAGCTGAAACTTGTGTATCTCTGTTTGGGAGATAGAGCATAGGCTCTGAGAGGAGGGCCAGCGTTTACGCTATGAAAACATGACCGAGTGTTTTAACCTGACAGCCTGAGGTGTTCTTCAATAAACTGGACTACCCGACAGAAGGACCCGAGGCCCCGCTGCACTTTTTCAGTAAGTTACATGTGTTTGTCAGCTAATGCGTAACTACCGTCCTTAGCTAGGTCCTGAGACCTAGCTAGCTAAGATGAGCACGCGGCTGTCAGGATTCGTTTAGCTGCGCAGGTGAATGAATTTACACCGACTAAAGAAATCAAGAGAAACGCTCTGGGCTACTCAGTCACTAATTACTGTTACTGTACTTTTATTACAAGTATTATACTGTAAAAGCAACAGGCTGCACCCTGCTTCAGCTCCTGTGCAGAGCTGATTATTAAATATCTTAAAATTACAGCATGTTTTTAGTCTCTTGCCACATCTGTAAAGACAGTAACATTTTTTTTTTTAAAGCTTGTACTTCAGTAACTCCTCATTAATCAGGAACTATGGATTAATGTACTGTAGTGTACTGTAATACTGAAAGAAAATGTAAGAGAAGAACTTCAGATCCTGAGTGTGTGAGGACAGAAGAATCAGCTTTATGATGAAAACAGTACAAAGGTTAATGTACCACATGTACTGTCGGTGAAAGCTGCAGCTGTTTTATTGATAAAGTTAAAGACAAAAAAACAAAAGGATTAATCACCCCTGTTGCTGTGTCACTGTATATCAGCATTAAAAGGACATGTTTGGTGTTTCAGAGAGCTGCAGATCTCAGACCTGCACAGCTTCTGTTTTAAACACTTGATGTACTCAGCTGCATGAAGAGCACGTTTGAGTTTCTCTGACACAATTAAATAAAACCCGATGAAGGTCAAAGGTCGTCACTTGTATGTTGAACTACAAACTTGTGTAACACCCGTCCCACGTTCTATTGAGAGGGGCCCTGGGTTCCTGTTGTTACTTTCCTATTGATACTCCCTTTTTAATGCTTATGGTATTAAATATGCAATAAAACTACACTATATGGAAATAAATCACACACAAGCAGGTCAATTATAAAGTTAACTCCACTTTAGTGAATGCTTAATTAACAACACAAAAGAAAATAAGCAAAATCAATAAAGTTTGTTAAACAATGGTAAGGTATCTACCTCAACAGAAACAAAATAATCAAATCATATTGTGGGCCCACACGCACTCTCACCAAACACACACACCTCAAGTGCTACAGTCTTTCTGCTAGCAAACCCCTCGTTGCAGGCCAGAGTCGTGGCTCGGGTGCGTTGGGACCTAAAACAATATGGTCGCTTCACTTGTTGCCAAGCAGTAAAAATAAAAAGCACGTGCAACAACAGTACTCAAACCTCCAGGCAGTTCAAGAGGATAGCGGTGAAACTGGGTCACGGCTACCAGCAGGCCGCGGCAGAGCACTCACAGTCGTCCTTTCCACGTGCTCCCACTTGAACACATAACTTCAGCACACCAGCAGAAGGGACCTCTCTGACACGCCAGCAAGACGTCCTTCTCCTTTTCCTCACAGTAGGGTACAACAGTTCTCGACTCCAGTTAACTATCCGTCAACCCGAAAATACGTCTGTCGCCCTTCTATGAACTCTGCGTTCACTCGACACTGTTCAGCTCTCGTCTCTCTCGCTTCCTGCAGAGTGCACACGGCTCCCCACTTACTCCAACCCCTCTACCTGAGACTACTTCAGGTCTCACTGGAGCTGTAGTACATATCAATACCATATCAAAAATAATGACATAAACCTCAAAATACAAATAAAAAGGTTGTGCATTTAACTGACACACATCACATACTTTGCAGGCATTTGTATACATTCTTGAACACATTAAACATTTGCAATTAACTATCAATATTAATGAACAAATTTAAATAATGAGCTACTTATATAGCCAGGGCTACACTTGTGATCTGGAATTCTTTCACAGTTTTTTGCAGATGGTGTGCTATTTACTATAAAGTGATTCAGAGTTATTCATACCAGAGTAACAAGAGAGGATCATATATTTTTAAATACTTAAATATATAACTTTCCACAGGACTAAATATAATATCTTTATGTAAAAGTCCGGAGCCTCTGGGGAGTATCAGAGTATTTATAACATTACACAAACCAAAGGTCTCCATCACAGTGTTCATGAAATGCTGGGTTTATCTCCTGCAGTGGGCCTACGGAGGAGTGCAGAAAATTTCCCTGTGAGGGAGCTGCTGGTGAAGATCATGAGTCCTGCTTGATCAATGTGATGAGCTTCAGTCTCTCTGGTGTTTCTTAACCCTTTAAGACCTACCATAGAACCAAGTCCACCAGAGTTTATATTATATTTTTACATGCTGTGGAGCCATTTTTGGGAGCATTTCAAGTTGCTATACATCAATACAACCATTATAGCCCAGATTTTAATAATATGTATGCATTAAGTGTGTAGTAATTACATAAATTGCAAAAAGTGCAATAAACTAGTAATAAACTTTATTAAGAGTTTTAAATAATGTACAGAAATTGAGAGGAAAGCAGAGAGACTCAAAAAAGGCACCGGTAATGATTAGTGATGTTCAGCTCATTGTCAGAGTAGCTGATATTAGATGTTATTAATTGTAGAGCTCTGTTGTGGTTGTTCTGTGTAATATAAAACTGCTTAATGTTACTCTAATCAGATGTGGTGACGTAATTATATAAATTACACATGTGCACTTTTAAGGCAGTATTGATTATTTTCAGTTGCTTAGTTTTGCATAGAAAGGGTGACACTGAGTAACTAATAGTTAATCACATGTTAGAATTGTATATACAGTTGCTTGTAGATGCCTATAGCACCTGCTGCTTATTGCATTTGTGTATAATACGTAATAAACATTAAGACTACATAGTGTTAAAAAAAAAAAAAAAGAAGAAGAAGAAGAAGAAGAAGAAGTACGGCGCTTTCACGGATTCTTTTTGATGGTAGCGATCAGGCGGAGACTTTTACTTCAAAAAACAGTCTTTATTTTCGCGCGAAGAAAATAAAATACAGATGCATCTGGAGATCATCCTATGAAGTCCTATTCTAACGGCTGATTTCCCTCCCCCAGGCTTGTACCTGTGGCTTCCTGTCCTGGGTTGGCTGTTCTCCTGCCCTGCAGCCCATCCTTTTGTTCATATTCCAAGACTATTTTTCTATATGCATTCTTACCCCCTAGCAACCGCCATTTCATAATGTGGCAAGCAATCACAAACTCTACAGTCTGTCTAACTCCAGTGTATCCCAAGCAATCTATTATTCTGAACAGAGCTAAACTCAAAATAAACGGAACCCGCATTAAAGTTAGCTCGGTGCTTACCTTTAGATGAGCCCACAAAAAGCCGAGAGAAACTCCGTGATGAAGCTGGAAGTCTTAAGAAACACAGAGACGGAGCAGAGACCCACGTGGTTCACGCTGATCTCAGCTACATTCCAGGAGACAAGGGTGTGCTGATCGATGCAGATATCGATCCAAACGTTGGTAGTGGTATACGTTCCTGTAAGTTTAGTATTTTACATCCCGTTTCATGAAAAAGCAGCTCTCTCTGCTGGACTCTCCTCTCCTGCACAGACACTTTGCTCCGCCCCCTTTTCCGGCTCTGCTGTGATTTGTTGCTGCGTGGTCACGTGACTCAGCTGCACAACGTAGCCACGTGGGGTGTTATCTCAAAATTAGCGCCCGTTCCCTTTCCCTAAACTCTTTCCTTAGCCTCCAGGAAAACGTCATCGTGAGAGGAAGAATTGCTAAGGACTCAGGAAAAGAGAGGAGCAATGCTGAGAATTGGAACAGCCTTTTTTAGTAGTGCACACAGCTAACTCTCTCTGCTGAATATGTAAAAATCGTCCCAGGGTGTCCACGCCCACCATTATAGAAAAAATCATAAAGCCTTTGAATGAAAACAAACACTGTTGTGACAGTGATGTACACTGTTCTGATGGTATATATGTATCAATCTATCAATTGTTTATTGCAAGACTCAGATAATTATTTTTGTTTAAAAGTGAGACATTTTAAATGAGAATAAGAAAGTATTTCCTTGTGCCCCCCTTTCCCTTGTAATGCCCTACCTGGCCCCTGGCAGAATCCACTCTGGCTGCAATCCGGTGGATATGCAGTGTGTACAGGTAAGACCATTTGTTCTGTCCTCACTAGATGTGGGCGTGATTTAGCTTATCCAGTTTGACAGACAGTGAACAGAATGAGAAGAAGAGAATGCTTTGAACTGAGATTCTTCTTTACTTCGATCTGCATCTCCAGTTTACAGGCCATGTTACTGAGGCTTCTTATAC